CAGAGAGTTTTCTTCTCTGCCACACCAAATATAGTGGGGCTCCTCACAGCACATGCCAGAGGTTAGGGCTGCCAGCCTGAGTAATCCCATGCGCTAGCCAAAGCAAAACTCCACATATCCCACGGTGCAGAGTCAGGAGAGCCTCCCTTGCTGAGATCCTGTTGTCTCATCAGCAAACAGCTCAACAGGTCAGAGCGGGCCCGGTTTGCTCAGAGCACACCAACTTTGTCAAAGATGTGCATCAGGAAAGAAAAGCAAGCAAATCAGGATGCTCTCATAAAAAGCAGAGTGTATATATATATATATATATAGTATGTATAGCTAAAATTCTATTAACATAGATAGATAGATAGATAGATAGATAGATAGATATAGAAAGCACATCATAGCATTTACTCTCTTATAATCTACAAGGCCCTGGATAAAATGTCTTTATTATCTAACCTCTCCAAAGTGCTCACACTGTTATTGCTCAAACTCTGCCTGAAATCAGAAAATCTGGCCAGGTGCATATGGGCAGGCCTGCATGCTGCCTTATTTAATTACATGCCATGTCTGGATCCCAACTACACCTGCTACAGATGCCTCCTCACACAGACACCACTGTGCAAATAGCAAGACGTGTTTACGTTTCAAAACCTGAGATGGACTTCAAACCTCAGAAAGGTGGTGTGTAGGGATTCAGTCCGAACTTCATGCACTAGCCACCACCAGACAGCAATCACTACCACAGACACCACACTGAAGGCAGCAGACAAACATTTGTTGTTTCTCATTAGCTCCTAAAGAGCTAATACCACCCAACCCCTGCACCCCTCCAAGCATGGTCTCACCTGCCCTGGCCTCTCACTAGCACACACGCCTCCTCCTCCACACGGTTCTTCCTGTCCTTCATGGAAACTTCATCCTTCTCACTTTCATTGGGTGGTGCTAGAGGAGTGGCTCCAGATGCAGCAGGTCCCAGCCTTGGGTCCTCACAGACCTCATTCCACGCGCTGTCTGGAGAGGAGAGCAGGCCTGGAGAGACCATTGGTGATGCAGGGTGGCTGGATGTTTTGGGGAATGCCTTCCTCTCCACAGACAGAGAGTCCACCAGTGAGTGCTTCTTTCTTCTCTGCTCCTCAGCTTTCTGCAGCCATAAAATCTCCACCCCTTGAAATTCTACATGTTTACTCACAGCTGCCTCTTTAGCGAGCCTCCTCTCAGGACCCATTTGCATTTTACCTTGACTGTACCCCGAAAACTCCTCAGAACATGCCCACCCCTCCACTCTCCTGGCTGCTTCCCGGTTAGTCACAGATGGTCTGTGACAGCTTTGTTCCTGCACTGCATGGACCTTGTCAGCCTTATTACTAATGGCTTGCAAGGACTTGGACTGCTTTTCTCCAGTCCATATTGCAGCCAGATCTTCCTCTACGACCAAATGCTTTTTTTCCTCAGCTGTTCGTTCAGAAGGAAGAGGCACATCTGAGAGTTTTTCTTGGCCTCCTGGAACTGGTTCTCTGGCTGCCTGCACATTTTGGCTGCCAGTAACACTCTTTTTTTCCATTTGCGTCTCTGAATCAAGAGAAGTATTTGCTCTCTCTTGCACCTTTGCTGCTTCTAACCGTCGAGAGATTTTCATAATCTCTGGCAGGTTACCCACAGGTTGCACACCTTCTTCTGGGGCGGGCAGCTGCGCTGCCCCAGCATCAGGTCTCGAATTATCTGCAGGAGCTGCACACTGAGGAATGGGCCTTACGTGGTGGTGACTGTCCCGTCTTTCTGGACGGCGTGTCACAGGCTCTGCGTGGTGTGTCGGTGAAGCTGTCGGCTCGTGTCTGCTTGGCTCCACGGTGCCGTACTCTGGAAATTCATTGATGATGGTATGAGGAAGCAAAGTGCTGCTTCCACGGCCACTACCTGCAAAGAGAAAAAAAAAAAAAAAAAGAAAAAGAGACCCTGGATTTATCTTCTACATGCACAAAGTAAAAAAAGCCTGACTTCCCTTCCCAGCCCTCTCCTAAAAGAGTAACTACACTCTGCCCAGCAGGGAAAATACCGTTCAGTTTAATTCACTTCTGAACACTCTCACAACTGCAGTTATCCAGAGCTGGTCTTTTTACATAGGAGTTTTTGGGCGGCCCTACTTTGGGAGTGTGCACTACAGAGGAAGGAATGCTAGAAATGTCTGCTACACTTCAGAAAGGGTCCCTGTGGCCCAGGAACGGTCTGAGGCCACAGGCCAGGCGCACAGGCTGAAGAAAGCAGATATTCAGAGGTCTGACATCCATCCAAGGAATGCACCACACATGATGGTTTTACTTAAAAAAAGAAGTTTTTAGGTCATTTTCACTTTTAAAGGTGAAACACTGGGAAGATAATCAGCCACACTCCGCATGTTCCACAGCCTTGACAAAACCAATTAGCTAAATTACAACGCAATTAATGAGCAATTCAGCTTTATGCCAGTACTTCCTTTAACAACTCAGGTAGCTGAAGGTCATTTTGCAGTGGTGGATGCACACCAAGCAGTTCCCATTTGCTGTTGCAGCAAACACGCTGCTGCACAGAAAGCTTATCACCCCTCCCTTCCTCATGCTGCTTTTCCAACTGATGTAAACAAAACAGGAGCAAAAATGGATGGTCCCATTTTCAAAGTGCCAAGCACCCAGTGGCTCCCATTGTTGTGGGTAACAGAGAACCATCTGTCCTCAGAAGGACCTCAGGGATTGCACAATGACAGATACTTGGCCACCTTATGTCATGGCCCAAGGAGAAACTGAGCTCTTGGAAAAAAAAGCAAAACAAAACAAAACAACAAAAAAAGTCCAACCAGAAACTGCTGCATTTGTTGCATCCATCTGGGAAAAAAAACTGGCCTGGAGTATAAAAGTGCTTTAAATCAAACAGCATGGTGGCCAGACCCAAACACCTACTCTGAAAAACGTCAGGGTGACAGCTCTGAAACCGGACACCAACATGCATTTGGATGCTTTGCTTCCACTCAAGTTGCATCTCTAGGTACTGTACTGCAAACTGATCACCATCTCCACTCCAGGCAGGCTGGTCACAGGCTGAGGCAAAAGCCATGTAGCTGTGGTTAATGATAGGCTGAGTTCAAGGTGAAAGAGAGGATAATTTAATGCAAGCTCAGCACTGCATTAATGTGGCTACCTATGTGCCAGTGGTTTGTAAAGACAAGCAGAAGCTCACACCTGCCAGCTCACTATCCAGTATATCTAGCCACAGGGTAATTACCACACACTGTGCATGGTGCAGGATCAAAGTGACAGACTTGGACTGTGCCAAGCCAAATCTCTTCCCTAGTAGGTTCTCCAGATCTCATCTCCATGTCTTTGGTTTCATAACTATATAATAAAAATTCAGTGGGTCAGGTTTCACCCAGATCACTTGGTGGTTGTTGAGGACAAGTGACCAGACAAAGCAGGGACCTTTTCTCTCCTGCAAGGTCCTAGGGAGCTGTAAGGAGCAAGGATGCCCACAGTTGCATCAACAGACTGCCTTGATGGCAGGGTTTCCAACACACAGATGTGGGTGCACCCAGGGAACTTTTTCCATCTGCCCAAAGCACCAGACAAACAGCCCCCCTTGCACACAACTCAGCCACGCAGTGCTTGGTGCATCCCAAGCCCACACTTTTCATGGCACAGACACTAGGTTGCCACTGGGGGACATTTCCACCAGGACTCACATATGATATTAATGCTTCGTGGTTGCAACATTCCTACACCTGCATCAGGCCAACCCTAAGCCAGCAAAAGGCCCCGCTTCCCCATCTCACAACCCTGGACTGCTCTAATGTAGCAACCTTAGTGCTTGATGCTCTCCCAGCACTAGAGATGTGTCTGATGTCTAGAGATGGGATTTTTTAGGAGAGAACTGCTGACAGGGAACCTGTCACTATAGATGCTAACGTAAACCCTTCTTCATGGACACATCCACCTACAGCGACTCTCAGTGTGCAACCCTACAAGCAGGAGGTACCCCAGTTGGGCTCCCCTCATGCCCACAGCACTGTGGCACAGTGCTAGGCCAGGCCACTCTTTGGCTACATTGCCCAAAAAACAGGTAATGCATAGAGCCCCAGGAGCTGGGATGCCCCGTGCCTCACTCCAACCCACACACCCTGCCTTGCTGGAAGGAAGCCCGGAGCGTCGGTCCCCAGCCTCCTGTGGGGCTGGGAGGCAGCCAATGTGCTCCAGAGGCCAAGTCCTAACAAGGCACCACACACAGACCCTGCCAAGGGGCCAGGCTCTTCTCTGCTAATTGCTGTCTTAGCTTCTGAACCGACACGAGGGAAACAGAAGCAGCCTTATTTCTGGAGGTGAATGCTAAGTGCGCTGCTGCGCGTCCCCATCTGCCGCCGACAGCCACTGCTGACTGTAAGCAATCTTGAGCAAGTTTCTGATTTAATTCTCCTCCTGAACTTCATCCCAAGCAAACTTTACCCTCTGGCAGACTCCAGAAGGGGTACACATACACAGCACATACACGCATACGTGGGCATGGAGAGATGGGCAGGAGCAGGGAGTGTGCTCGCGGGTACTCCTGTCTGCCACACCTGCAAACTGTGTTCCGTTTGGGCAAGAGAGCAGAACTTTCACAGTAGAAATTTAAGCTGTTTTCTACAGCGAGATGTCAGCATCCCTGCTCTGGAAGGACTGCTGCTGCTACTGCTGCTCTGTGCAAGCACAAGTCAGTGGGATTCTTACCTTCATGGCATACTGCAGGAATATTGCCTAATTTGCTGTCTGATTAAAAAAAAATTCATATATGGCACCAAAGCAGCATTCTGTCCCCATTATGTTAGGTACCACCATGCACATGACTACCAAGGCCTTTACTCTTTGAGGTAAATCACAACCAATCACCCCCTGCTGCTAAAACAGCAAAGCCTTTCCCTTTGCTCAGAGAGCTATTTCAGGTACCAGAGCTTAGCGGAGCTTGAGCTCTTTAAGGGAAACTCCTCCCTTATTCCCATCCACCACCACAGCATCATGTCTTGCTGCAGCTACTGGCATATCCTGTCCAACCCATCCCCCAATATGACTGCATTACAAACAAGGCTAGAAAGACAACAACAAAATTTAAGGACTGCACTGAAGATGCGCAGGGAAAAAAAACACCCATCACCAAACAAACAAAGAAAGGACACACACTTTCAGGTAACACCAATTTCTACTTTGCATTGAAGGTGGCTTCTTTCAACAAAGGAAAAAAAAACAGAAGGAAAAAAAGAAAGAAATGGATAGAGAAAAAGGTAAAATAGAGAGGGGGTGAGTGACTAGCAAACTGAGACGGGGCAAATATAACGTAACAGCACTTGGCAGCCTTTCTGAAGATTAGACGTTGAAAGCATTAATGACTTAAATCAGGCATAGATATGATATTTCATAGGTAAATAACCATTCCATGTCAAGCAAGCTTGTCTACAGCATAATAAAAGGAAATTCTAGGAAGCAAAACACGAGTTAAAAGCATAGACAGACATTTTGGTTACAGGTACATTTTACAAAAGAATGGTGTGAGTGTCTCTCTCTATACAATATATATATATATATATATTAGCTAGCTCGAGAAATTAGATATATTTGCTTGAACAGTCTCCTTACTCACAGAAGTTACTGTAGCTCCAGCAGTTACCCATTGGTCAAAGAAATAAAATGCACAGATCATCAGTTTATCTATAGCGATACCAGCTAATTCAATTGCTGCTGTTCTAGTCAACTGGAATCAAAATAGTTTCAAATTTCCTGGCAGCTGGTGCCCTGCACTGCACACAGTGATGTAAATGGATGCTTTCTGAGTATTATGAAACTGATGGGGGAACTGCAGTCTCATTCAGTCTATCGCAGGAGCTAAGGAGTCCACCTTGGCAGCTTACAGGGGGGAAAAAAAACATTTCCTCCAGCAAGGCTGCCTGACGGCATGCCAGGGAGACGTCTGTGCTTAGCTGCTGCCGTTTATTGTAACCGCGTCCGTAAGGGAGGAATCGGGTGGAATGGCGATGCTGAGAGTCATGTGCCGATTTCGGAGCGCAGGATGCTTTATGGCATTTCAGCATCAGTGAGCTGGAAGCGCTCACTAAGCAGCCTAGTCATCTTGCATTTTATTTCTCCGCAGCTCCCTGCGCCGAGCACAGGCAGCACACGGGTGAGCCTGCGGGCGGCGTCACGACAGTCGTGCTTTCTCGGTATTTCTCGCCACTGTTTGTGAAGGGCAAATTGGGGCAAGCAAAAAGCAATGAGTGCGTTAAAGATGAAACGAACCTCCAGGTGACAGAGCTTAATGAATGAATCGCAGGATTTATGGTACTATATCATTACGGCAGCCCGCCAGAGGGGAGGGTTACACGTATCTCCTTGTCCTGCACTCCCTCAAGTTACAACTTCTTAGTTACAACTTCTTAGGGTCACTAAAACTATTCCAAGTGATAGCCTGCTCGTGCTGAGATGGAGAGGCCGTCCCCCGCGAGAGGGGAGGGATGCTGCACAGCTTCTGGCAGCCTTTCGCAGCAGCCCTTTTTCCACATGATGTCATTCTCCATGCTGTGATAGGTCCTGCCTGGCTGGCGTAGCCAAAGCCAGGGGATTAACACAATGCAAGCACGGTGCTTTTGTAACTGGAATGCAGACGTCCACACCGGACTGGGCGCAGGGTTTTCTGCAGCTTGCAGCCACTCTAGGTTTTTTTGGCAACTGGCTTGCCCCAAAAAGGGGAAGTGGAGCCAGTTCTTCGTCCCTTCTAAAGTTACAGCGGCACTACGTAAAAACAAACTGGTGGAAATGGGGAAGCTGAGTGAAAGAGAGAGGGAAGCAGGGGGAAGAGGTAGGGGAGAGCAGTCTAGAAATAAGCCCTGGTTCAATGCCTCTGTGCCTTAGCAGACATGCAGGGAAGATAGAGGGGACCAGAGGTATAGCAGAGCCCACACAGAAGTGCCCACATTGGCTGAGATTCTTCACCTCGAAAAGAGACAACCAGAGGGAGTCCTTGCTGTGGTTACTGGGAGGTTTGACACAGAGCCCAGCAGCATGCACAGGCAGCGTGCTCCTTGCACTCACCATGCTCAAACAGCCAGGCAGTGGGGTGGCAGCTGGCAGCTCAGAGTTACCCAGAAATTATACTAACTGGTTCAGGGAAGAAAATAATCCCCCTGCAAGCACCCAGGGGCAGTGTGTCGCTCAGGAAATCCCCCACCCGCAGCTTGCTACATATTGGAGGGGGTTATCAAAGAAGTACTGCTCACCACTGCTCTTGCCCAGTTCCCTAAATTCTGGGGGGGTTTGGGCTACCAGAGGCTGTGCAAGGTGTACCTTCAGTCTGCCACAGGACAGTCATGCCCGTGGCTAGGTAAATTTGTCCCAAATCTCTGCTATCCCAGTCCCAGAGCTAGAGTCTGGTAGTTATGCGATGGCCAAGTTGTCATGGCTTGAGAAACAGAGTAAGAAAAGCTGCTAGGTTAAGAATGTAGATTCTGCCCATTAAGAAAACACTGACCAAAACAGCATGTAAAATACAGGGGACACAGTGTGTCTGTTTGAGTGTTTGTGTGGTTTTTTTTACAATTGCACAAGTTCTAACCCTGTTCCTCATGGAAATACTTATATAAGCAGCGCTGTGACTCGGTTGCATTTTTTTTTTACCCCACAATGGTGGGGTAACTAATTCCCAGTGGTAAGCAGGGTTTGGGACCACTTGCATAACCCCAACTGCACTGAATTAAGAGTCCTCCAAAGAGCCCCATACCTTTTGCCCTGCTGCAGGAAGGATGGCACCTTGCCACAGCAGCTCTCAGGCCTACGGTGAGCTCAAAACAGGACAAAGTCCAAAACTAACATGCAGCACGTGCTGAGAGGATTTAGTGAGAAGGATTATCCACTACAAATTGCTGCATGGGCCACAGATGGTCAGCGAGATAGCTCAGTCCCAAGAGTCATTACCCTGGAAAGCAAAATGGTAGAGTGAAACATCTGTTAGCATGAGCAGGAACAGGAGGGAACACAAAGAGAGTATCTGGGCTCCTTATCCTGATGTAAAAGGGTGTGGATGAGTCTTACAATATTCAATGCACTTTTCTTCTTTAAAGCCCCACACCCTGGAGCAACATGGCTATGAGAATCTCAAGCTTTGGTTTAAGACTTATGTTTGAAAAAACTCATAAACCTAGAATGTAAAAGACAGATCCAAAAAGAATTTGAAATTTTCTATTTTTCTACTGCTGTGATTTAGAAAGGAAGCAGCTAACAGGTGATTTTCTAAGTGTAGATACACACAGTGACAGCAAGAATTACTTTAAAAGCTCCCTAAGAGCCTTCAGCTGAAGAACAAACTTCTGGAGCAGTGACAACTCACAGCTGCTTTCACACTTGCAGCATCTACAAAGACTTTACAGCCTCTCTAAATCCACTTGTAATTAATGTTATATATTTAAAATATTGTATTTTTAGAGAATCTTCTCAAAACACTCAAAAAATTGCTTTCAGCAAGCAACAATGACTTTAAAAAAATCCCACACTTCTACTAGACACAGATCTCAGAAACTGTGGATTTTTGCATATCCATCCAGAAACAAGACACATCTGCAGAAAAGGATGTCCTTTACTGCATTTCAGGGTTTGGGACCAATTAACCAGGCTAAGAGTGAGCTTGCTAAGCAGTCCTCAATGCACTCCAGGAGCTGGATATCAACTTACGCACCCAACTAAAACAAAAATAGGACACAGAGGGACATGTGTGTCTCCCAGGCTCCAAGTATTTGTTGCTAAAGGAGAAGCTATGCAGCTGGACATTGCATAGTAACTTTTCAGCAAGTTCTCACAGGGAATGAGATCCCCTTCCTCAGGAAGCTGGGCAGAGTTAAATAAACAACGTGGGGGTCTAGAGCAGAAGGCACTTGTTAGAGCAGTGAACTGTGAACAGGAAAAATACTTGTTGTACGCCGTGTTACACTTCTTCAGTGCGGTAACAGGCCAGAACTGCATCTACCCCCGTAATTTTAATTAAATGCCTTCTCCATGTTCTTATCAAGCCATCTCCAGCAGCAGGTTAACATGCATCATTTCCTTCAGAAAGCTTCAGAAGTGAAGCAAGGCTACAGCACGATGGAGGGTTTGTGTTGGTTTGCTGCCCATCTCACCAGATGATGGGGCTGAAGCTAAGGAGAGGAGAGGAGACCATGGTGACAAGCAAAAATGCAGCTGTGCCCCACAGTACCTGCCTACAGCCAAGTCAGCTGGCTGAGCCTCCCCTGTTGTGCCCACTGACCTGGATGCATCATTTTCTGTCTGCCCAATGGAAGGGAACGGCCTGACTGCCTCCAGGAAAGTGTTGCTGAGCCCTGCCAGCTTCAGAGTTCAGCCTGTGCCACATGTGCTCAGAGCATCTGATGTGGCCAGACATTGATGGGCTGCCAGCATCACCGGGTCCCCAAATATTTGTGTGCTCACATCATCATGGCTCTCAGCTTCAGTGAACAGGCCACAGACTGGGAGGCAATTACTGGCTTAACTCTGGCATTTCCTAACTTCTGAGTGTTTAATTTTGCACATTTAAAAAACAATAAACAAACAGCCCGTATTTTAATGATTATTTGTACTAAACCCTTGGCCTTCAAACAACTCTGTTGTTTACCAAGTCGAGGATGTGGTAATCTCCTCCCCACAGCTGAAGGTTATGATAACTTGAACTATCCAGCTTTCAAGTGCAGGTCACAAGACATACAATTTCCTCCTGTGGAGCAAGGGACTTAGCATAATGCCTTGTGCCCCTTTAGTTCTCCTCTCCCTGGGACTGGAAACGCAGACATCCATCACACCACACCTGAGGGCCCCAGAGCATGCCTCAGCTTCTCCTAGCCCCAGGAAGAGGGACTCAGAAGTTCAAAGGGAGACAGCAGGACAGCTCCCCGTCACACAGACGAGATGCAGAGCACAGTGCAACCTGTCCTCCTGCACCAACATTAATCTTTCCACGTGCACAGTCCGATGTGACAGTGCTCTTCTGACAGCACTGTAAGAGCTCACTGCTCTCCAGAAATGACCTGGTTTACTCCAAGTTGGAGTGAAAGAGGAACACTCAGCACAGCCAGTGAACACGCTGGTGCCAGAGAGGTAATCACTTCTTACAGTGCACAAACTCAGCTGGGAAGTTTTAATACAGTACCTCTGGAGACTTAAATTAAAAAAGTTAACCTTCTTTTTGCATCACTGCCAACCAGCAGTGCCAAACATCAGGGATACCTATGAGAATACTCTTGATTACACACTGTGATTTAAAAAATCCTGCAGGTCTTCAATGTGTCAGAGAATGTCCCATCTAGTGGGGCACTAGAAACAACAACAACAAAAAAAGGCTGAGAGAGTCAAGTATGTCAGCAGGATGAAATTATAATTAAGGGGGAGGGGGCACCACAAGTCCGAGCTTTCTGTATTCCAGCCTTGTGTGTGTTCCTGTTAAATGCTGCAGGAGATCTGATGTATCTATTCTCCACCATAATTAGGCAACATGAACATGAAAATCAGGCAGTCCTCCGACCCTCAAAAAATGCAGTTTTGCACCTTTTCGAGAAAGCAGAGCTGCAGAGGAATATACCAGACCAAGGAGCCCAGACTTTCAGGATTGCCTGGAGGTGGAAAGAGCAAGAGATGAAAGCATGACAGAGGGTGGTGCCTCAAAATGGAAAGCGATGGGTTTAGAGCACTGGGCAAGACTACAGTCAGCAATCTGGGCTGTCATGAGAACAATGTAACCTGAGTGCCTGTGGTCTGAGGGCAGTTTTTTAGAGTGAGGATGTCTAATACACAGAGGATGCAGCAGAGCTGGACATGCACGCCTTGAAATGACACAGAGAAAGCAAGCAAGGCAGAAGATGAAAGACAGCCTAGTGCGTCAGGAGGGCTCATTTTACACAGATACTAGGGTAATTTTCTTAGGGCTGTTTCAGTCAGCATCATAAGACCATGAAAAGGCTTTGCTTGTACAAAAAAGCAGCCATTGTGTTCTTCCTTTGCTCTTGAAACAGGTTATAGAAGTTCTACAGCAAAAGCAATGATTTCCATGACTGGGGTTCAGGAAAGGGTATGTTGCATGGGTCAAAGTATGTGTTTGGTTTTGTTTCATGTGTCAGCTGTGGCATTGTTTGACCCCTTCCAGACATGGTTCAGCACACAGTGCCAGGAGAAAGTAAGCCTTTTTATTAGAATTGTTCTTCTGGCGTTGTTTGGGGGTTTTTTGTTACTCAGTTTTTGCTGGCTTAAGGTTGCTAAGCAAACAGATGAGTACAAGAACTAGCATGAAACAACCCGTGGCAGTGTGTGTCTGGGACCATCTCTTTTGGCAGAAGCAAGCTGTTAAATGAGCTCAGTTGCCTCATGACACCTCACTGAACACAAAACAGCAAGTGACAGGCTTTCCAAAAAGCTATTTGTTGCACCAGGAATTCAAAACCAAGCTTCTTCCAGCAGCTGTTGGGAAACACCAGATTTGCATAGCAACACAGGCACTATTTGTACAGGGCTTTTTTGTGAGGGACGAGATTACACCCTCTGTTACACAGGAGGGATGAAAGCTTTCTCCTCCCAGAAGCATCAGAGAAAAGAATGTTTATTAATCTTAAGAAGCTATTTTCTTCCTAACAACAGTCTTGGATTTATTTTCTCATATAACAGGAATTATGGGGTATTTGGCCTTCATGTTTACTTAAGGAATTATTTTGTAGCATCCCCCACTGTTTTCCCCATGAAAGCACTTTTTAGGACTAAGCCATGCTGCCAGGGTTTTTTTTTTCCTTTTTGGTATTTAAACATATTAACTGCAAAGTCATAAAAATCAGGACTGTAACATGCCTAAGCCTGAAGATAAGTCTGTTCAATAGACATCACTGTTTCTGTGGCATTTCCAGAGCAGAGTATGTTTCCATATACAACAAGCACCCTTTATTTCCACAAGTCTGAGAAGACGTCTTGTCCAACCCAGCCAAATTCAGTTTCTAAAAAACATTTTCTTTAGCTGGAAGGCAGAATGCTGGGGTTTTGCCAGGGAAGGTGGCCAGGCTGTGCAGGGGGCACGTGGCTGCATGTGGTGCATCCTGCCTGCTCCCATTGGAAAGCAGCAGCCCCAGGAGAGGGGTCTGCAGGGAGATGTGTGGCCTCAAGCCCTCCCACAATGAGACGAGGGTCCCAGGGCCTTGGACCTCCTCCTGCTCCGAGTAAGGTATCCAGGGCAGGAGGATGGGCAACAGACAAGAGAGGAGAGGAGCCAGACAGGAGGCATCACACAGTAAAGGCAAGAGCACGAGGGCATCAGCAATCACAAGTATCCCAGACAAAACCAGACTGAGGACAGCAAAGGAAAGAAATTATGAGAAAATTTTTTTATGCGACAGCTTTATTAGCACTTGAATATCGTTGATGAAAAACCTCTTCTAGGTTAGATGCTAGAAGGCATTTAACTTTTTATTTTCCCTCCTCTCACTTATGAAAATGATCACAAGCTTCAACCTGGAAGGTAAAAATCAGCACAGGAGCTTACTAACAAAGTATGCCATCTCCCACCCGGGTAGACAGAAGTATTCTTCCTTCTTTGGCTTGTCTGATTCAAGTGTTTTAGTACTCAATTAAAAAATGCATTCCCTCAACAGCATCCAGCAGAGCTTCAGTAATATGGCTGTGGCAGAAAGGGAAAGGATAAACCAGTAATTAAGTCATTCAGCAGCTTACATGTTATGTTCTGTTTCTAAGGCCAGCCATGGCACGGGTGAACTGCTTTGGGTTACGTAAATTAAAGTTCAGCGTTACTGCCCACAGTGACAAGTTGTTCTCTTGATCAAGTTCAAACACTAACACTTCTCCTGGCCCTGGCCCTGTCACTCATTTGCTTAAAATACCTTATACTTTGACCCCTAAAAAGCCTGTCTTCTTTCTTTTAAAGGCAACTTCAGAAAGTAGCAGGTTTGTTTGGATTTTTGGTTGTGTTTTTTCCCTTCCCATCTAACACAGAGAAGAACAGAGAGACTTTCAGGCATAGCTGCTTCCCCCAGAAACATACATCATGACATATTTGACATATATCAAATCAAAAAACGCCAGCATTTGGTGCACAGAGCCCTGGGTTTGTACTGCAGTGCCCTCAGCTACCCCTTCCTCATTCATCTCCAGCTAGTAAGCAGTTAAAGCCTGCTCACTTGAAGAAAAAAGTAGAAGGGGCACTACCACTCTCATTTATCCACTGTGGTAAAACACCGTGGAGGAGGAGGAGGATGAATCTGCCTGAGACAGCATGAGGCCAGTCTGGGTAGGCACAATGTCGCCCAGTTTTCGGGTACAGCTGAAAAATGTTACGTGTTAACCACTGTTAAATATTTGGAAACCCTCCCTTGAAGTAACTCCCATTTTGCGTTATGATTGTTAGCTCCTAATGGTAGTTTCTCATTAATAAAGGAACATGAGAAGGACCAGAAACATCTATTTATCTGGCTTTCTCTTTGCCACCCTTTATTTTAGGGCTCAGTACTCAGCCTGGAATACCCATCACATGTGATAATTGTTTTGGCTGGTAATAACCACAGATTCACGTGGACTTACTAGACACAGCATATTTTATTTAATACTGATTCAATGCCTGCTGACAGTGCTCTCACACTGCGTCTCTCCAAGCAAGAAGTGAGGTCATCCTGATTTGTGTAATGATCTGATACACATTTTGTGGCAATTTGGAAAAGCTTTTAAAATTTAAAATTTTGGTGGTTTGGGGTTTGTTGGTTTTTTTTTCCCCTTTACAGTTTTGGGTTTTTTCACTTTGTGATTAGGATTTCCCAAGTGGAAGACCAAACTTTATAAAATCCCAGAAAAAACTGTTTACTCACTTTCTAGACTTCAGTTCTGCCTTTTTTTTTTATTTTCCCTTTTTTATGCCTTTTTTTCTTTCTTTTTCCCTTTCTTACTGAAGTGGAGGAGCCTACTCAGTTTGTTTCTGAACAAAGTGCTGCCCTTTTCTGGCAAGAAGGGAGTCTTCTTTAATTAAAAGTGACATTCCAGAAAGTTTGCAATTAGAAAGGATCAAGGTACAAAGAGAACAGCCTGAGGAAATGCTTTTGCAAAGAGGGCAGGGATTGTTGATAATTATGATGAGGCAAGAGAAATAGTTACAATAACTACATTCACTTTCTTCTAAGCTTGGGCTCTGAAAAGGTAGAAAATGCCCTGCACTTACACGAAAAGGACAGGAACAAGACCAATCCTTAGGCATATTAGATATTGCACCTGGATTTCTTGAATTACTAACTACAGAGTTCAGGTACCACCTCAAGTATCTAAATTAAAATCTTACCTACCTCTAGCTGTAGGAAGAGCAGTGTGCAGACCACGAAGGGCATTCCTGGAAGGACCTCCAGGCAGAGATGGCTGTGTTTCAGCACGTGCAATTGCAGAACTCATGGCTGAAACAACTCCGCTGCACAGAAGTGAAGGGATTCCCTCCACCAGTGTGTCTCCAGCACACAAGTCCCTGCTGTCACATCAAGGTGGCCCAGGTGAGCCAAACAGAAAGGTGGGTGTATAACACAGGGAACCACTGTTATTTTCTGAGGCCAAACCAGCAGGGTCCTTTGGTCTGGTACTTGCACTGTGGTCTGGCAAAGAGCAGCGTTAGCATAGTGAGCAAGCCCTTGTGGGGTCATTAAGAGAGAAGTTTCTGCAAAACTTTCCTGAATGGATTAAGAGTTTTGGGGGGTTTTTTTGCATACAATAGTTATAGACAGCACTTACCCATTTCCGAAGGCTTCTCTTCTTCCAAGCCAAATAAAAATTCATATTTGGCCTTGGCAACATTCTGGGCGTGAGCTGATACATCACTATCCCACACAAGTGCTTCTGCCTGTAGAGTCAAAATAAATAAAGCTTATCTACCTTTTGGTGAAAAAACAGCAGCAGGAACGTGAAATCCTTCCAGGTGTGCTGTCGGGAAGGATTTTCAAAGTATTCATTTAACTCTGTCACCACCAAGATCATCCAGAGCAGACATGCGCCAACTCAGAATGCTTTTGAAGAGCTTGCCTGTCTTTGAACCCAAGCATTTCAGCATTAAGCAGTGATGTCAGAGCACCCAACCACTTATATCTTTAGCCGGCTTACCCACTGCAAGGGCAGCAGCACTGGCCAACTATGTCAGTAATACCAGTTAGGGTTAAAAATGTCAAGGGAGTAGTATCAGAAATAGCAAATTTGAATATGTATGTCACAAAACTGGGACCCATGAGAAAACCATAAATGGGGCAGGCTGTTTCTTTGAAGAGAGGCTGGGGCAGAGAAAGGGAGGAAGGAAAAAGGGTTACAGCAAGGATGATCGAAAATGGGAAAAAGGGATAAGGTATGCAAACGTGTGGCAAGTACCATCTAAGGGTCGCTGTTGGGCAGCCCACGCCTGACTGCCACTGTCTAGCTCAGGACAATAGCCCAACCTGGTTTTATAACAATACCACACAAGTCAAACCTGCTTATCTGGCCAGGAGGCCAGGAGGCAGGGAGGAGGCACAGAGTGGTGAAGCCAGCTAGTCCTGGGCGGGGATGGATGGACAGATGAATTGAGCAACCCCTGCCCACCCAGGTCTGGTGCCACCAGCACCTTCACCCTGCTCCCTCCTCGTTAAGCAGCAGTTTGAGAGAGTAAAGGTCCAGTTTCTCAGAGGAGATAAAGGCTGCAGGACTAAGATCAAAATACCTTTCTGAACAGGTGGGGACAAATCAAATCCCCAAGATAAAGCACATACCAGCAATAAGCTGTAGTGCAAAAACTATCTGCAGCCAGCATTAAGTGTCTTCCCAGCTGGGCAAGACGGAGCCCATAGTTCTTCCGTTTGAAGTGACAGATGAAATAAATCATTAACTCCGCAAATTCTTCAGTAAACTTTATATTCACGCTCTATGTTTGAGGCACTCAACTGTTGCAGCACAGCAAGTCGTTGCATCGTTCATATTGAAGACCTGAGCTTAGAAAAATATTCTTAAAAAAAGAAGTCAGATGGAACATTCTGCCCCCCGGGACAACAATAACTTTTATGCATTTCTATCAAATACCTTAGGAGAAGCGTCATCTACAAACATAAATTCAAAGTACAGGGGACACGTAATTCACAGGTCAAGGCTCTTTAATCAGCGATGGATGGAATCCATACATTCCTCCACCTCTCCAACAATTACATTTTCTTCCATGAGCATACTGACAAATAGCTATCTTACCCCATGCCCCTGAACAGTTTTGCTCCAGGTCTTCCTGGCCTTTTACTCCATTTCTACTCCTGCCTTTCTGCACTGCACTAGTTCTGCAGGATTTAGTCCAACACCACTCTGTTCGAAATAGGCAGCAGATCTTACACAGGGGTCTTGGACAGATTTATTTACCATTCACTGGTCCAACTACTCATCACTAGAGCTCTGAGTACTTTGATGGACATGCTAACACTAGGCTACCAAATCCTTTGGGAAAAATGTGATGAAACAGATGAAGGGTTTTCTAGCACAAAGATGACTTCCACAAGCAAGACAAAATGAGCTTGGAAGAAGCCTCCATGTCTCTCGTGCTTTTACAGGGCTGCATTCATTCACTGGAAGGGAGGCATGAAGGGCTAGAAGAGGAATAGCTGGACCCAGAGCTCACACAGGAGAAGGCTCTTGTTTGCAACAGCTTGGACAGGAGTAGCTTACAGAGCCAGACAAAAATTCAACCTACCCAGATATGGATGTGAAGGGATGGGATGGCTAAAAACTAGCTGGTGCCAAATCCCAGTCACGGATGAATGAAATGGAAAATAAAATGAACAGAAGAGTCCAGTTCCTGAGCAGTCAGGAATTTCTGATCTATACACCTCTGGGACACAGTATTTCCATACCTCAGCCTTGCTCTTTGAGACTTCACAGACATCTGCTGCAGTGAACATCCCTGCCAGCAAACACATGTTCCAAGGGTCTGTATTTGCCTGCACCTCATCGTAAAGCAATGGAGAAGAGTCTGGTTCACAGCACCCTCTGCATTGCCCAATAACAGGCAGAAATAAGTTGTTAGATTAATGGGGTTTCCATGTACTGGGCAGCATTTATCAGAACTAGGTGCATAAAGGGAGGCTGCAAGACCTTTGTCTTGGCATCTGAAAGGGATTACTTGATTTTCAGAAGTGCTCAGCACCACTGATGAGAATTACAGATACTGGCTTGTGCATGGGAACAGCTGAATTTAACATCTATTTAGGCTGTCAGAGCACTAAAAGGAACTGTGTAAAGAAACTCCAGATCCAGGCTTTAGGAAAAAGTTTATCATATTTCATCCAAAAAAGAAATATTAAAAAAAGAACACAAGAGAGGGAGAGAACAAAGACACTGAGTTCAGAGCTCGATTTTAAGACCACTAATTTACCAGTGTTCAAATCAAGTGTGCTCTCCTTTTCTTCTTTCAACCCACCACTCACCCAAGCCTTGCAGGGTTCAGCATGCCCTGAAACCAGGATCCCAGAAAAGGCCTGGACAAACATTCATGGTGCTTTCCAAACTGCATTAGCAAAGATTAAATACAAGCAAGATTGAAAGGGATATAAAACTCCTGCTTAAGCCTTCTCTCTCAGCTCAAGGGCGAAGAAATCTGCATCCAGGTCATCTCATTTCATAATTGCTTCCCTCAGAGGGCTTTAACCACCACCTTTGTAGCATCTGGTCTTTGTCACTCCTGGAGAGGGTGACACTCAGAGCATCAATCCCCTTAAATCAGCCCAGCTGTACATACAGCATTTCTCATGAGCCACATACCCACTATTTTTCAGTCTGATTATGGTCTGGGCAGAGAGGCATCAAGCTCCTGCCCATTTATGCATCACTCTTGCAGTGCTTTCTGCCTGTTTGAACATGTTTGATCAAGCCTACTTCTCTCCATCACAGTTCCTGGTCGGGAGTTGGGGCAGCTGCATTTGCCTCTCAGTGAATTTTAGATAACATTTATGAGGCTGCATTAGTTTGGCCTTGGCAGCCCTGACCCCTCAGACCTCCTGCCAGCACACCAGACCAGTTTCTGCTGACCCTGCAGAAGGCACTGGCTTGGTCATTACAGGTGTCCCACCTTGCTGGCTTTCTGTTCCTCGCTTAGGGAGCAGAGATTGTTCAGGATATGGCTCTCATGGTGGTTTCAGGCCAGCACAAGAAGTGAAGTTGCTGAATCCATGTCTCAGCACTTAACTGAACAGCAGCAGGATGCTAAGACCTCAGGGTTCCTGCTTCTCCAGCGGGAGCTGCCAAGGACAGATATGTCAGCCCAGCTGCCTCTGCTCCACTCTGCTGTCTAGAGGTGTGAACTGGGGCTGCGGGGCAACATCTGCAAGGAGAAACTGTTCCCACAGTTCACTCCTGAGAGGTGCCTTTAGGCAGGCCCCGGACAAGAGCTGCTGCCTCTCTTGAAGCACAGTTTCTCTCTCATTTCAGCTTCAGTCATGAGCTCCCCTCAAAATGCCCTCCCAAAAATCCCAGTGGTTTTTAGATAAGCACAGTGAGTCATAAAAGCCCGAAGAAAATGCTTCTCCTTTCTCCATGGAAGAAAAGCACTGAAGCATCCTCTTTTGAATTTCACTGAGGTTCTGGTTGGGGCCTTTTTTGGGACAGACTTGTTTTCTTCTTGGAGCCTTTTTTTTTTTTCCATACCTACATGTCAGAGAGCATTAAATGAAGAGTATCAAAGTCTTGTTCTCTCACCACCATTTGCAGCTGAGCTTGACAGGAGAGCTAGGCTCCATCTCAGTGGAAGGGGATGACATTGTCCATGGCTGCTGTGACAAGGAACAGGTCAGTCTGAGCACAAGGAGCCAGTCTGAACCCATGCCTCCTGATGTATTCACACTTAAGGTCATATGTTTTCTTCAAAACAGTCTAATAAGGAGGACTTTTTCAAAGGAGCAGATAATTAAATTGCAAATGTCAGTTTGGAGTTTCTCAGACTCCCTCAGAGGACAGATGCTGTCAAAATAGACTGAATTCTTGCAGGTGACCCGTGCTTGAGGAACAGCAGAATGGGATGGGTGCTCAAGCACAAGTCTTCAGGGAGCGAGAGCTAGCCAAAATTCTGGACAGCAGGAGTGCACTCATGCTAAAGGAAAACATCGGTAGGAAGTGGTCTAACAACCTTTCACAGAGGGCTGTTAGCTGGGACAGAGAGGTCAAAGCATCCTCAGGGAGACCCCTGCAAGCTTGCTTAATAAAACCCAGCCACTCTGTCCCCAGAAAGAAACATTACTGGAATTCTTCTAGGCATATTGGAAAATGTGGAGGGACTGGCCAGTTAGGGTGTGGGTCTCCACAGCTAAGCCATACCATGAAGAAGCCTTGGGGGAGCCCCAGTTTTACACATTTTGCATGTGCACAGCTGCTTTCTCCAGAGCTGAGTGCCTTCCCCCTTGGCCACACCACTGCTGGATGTCAGCTCCCTGCCAGCAGGCAACAGCCCCTGCACTGGCAGCGCAGTGCTTCCTGGAGGTTTCATTGAGGCTAGTGGGGAGATGCTGCAGTGGCTGCAACAGAGCTGTTGGCACTACTCAAGGAAACAGAAAAAAAGCCTTGCAGGATGCCTGAAAAGCACAGTCTACTACAGAGAACTTCACAGTTGCACCCGCAGCATTTCTAATCCCAGCCTGTGCTTGTTCCATTCTCATTGCTTCATCAACATCTCTGGCGGCAAAAACACCAAATGCCTCTCAGCAGCCTGTCATACACCTCAATACAGTGAGTTTATGCTCTCCAGAGGAGTGTAAACTTGTACCTTCATCTTGTCTTTTGCACCCCAAAGTCTCCCCAGAGACTGACAGAAATACAATAACTGGTAGTGGAGCTAGCTTCAAAAAAAGAAAAAAAAAAAAAAAGGGCAGGGGCAGAAATGATGGATAGAAGGATTCTACAGATTTAAAACCTTCTCCAGCAAGTTCCCAGCCAAACAAAAGTACCCAATGAGTCAAGCTACAGTGCCATGGTCAAGTTTTTATGGAATCATGCATAGAGAGCTCTGCCTCTCCTGTCACGCATGGACAACCCCCCCAACAGTGGCCAACCCTTTTTTAAGCACCATTATCATTCCTGTGTATCATTCCGTAGCAAGCCTCACTGCTTTTGACAGGTCATAGTAATTGCCCTGAAAAGACTATTTCTGTTAAGCTTGTCTTAAATCACTTTCCTAAGTAACAGGATGAAATTCAGAAAGCCGGCATTAAAATAAACTTGCTGGCTGGTGAAACCTAGTGCACTGACAGCACAGAGACACTGTGGGTGCTTTTTTTGTGGGACTTCAAAAAAAAAAAAAAAAAAAAAAGGCTGCTAGCAGAGGTTTGTAGTTTTTAATTGCATATGACCTCATGCACCACATTTGTGTTTTCCTCACACCTCCCCACCACTACTATACATGCTTGCAGTTCTGGAACTGAAGCATTAGCAAAATAGATTAAGACTCAAAAGAACAGGATTTTTGCACGGCTAAACCTCAGCTGGACCTGCCAAAACTTAATGCTAGCCAAAGTTTTGGAAGAGATCTCAGCCTGGGTTTTAAACTAATTCCTAACTATCAGAAGTTGCAGGGAGATGTGTATAGAGCCAGAAGGTGGGGGAGGAAAGAAAGGGCTTGTATGAGAACACTGCCTATAGCCATTGTCCAGCAGAGAAGTTTGGATTCTAGAGAGGGATAACAAACTCATCTAAGACTTTTCAGCTACAGGAAGGAGGCAACTGAGCGACATGTGGCAGAGGTGCCTGCAGCCATAAAGGGCCTGAAAAAGACAAAGAGCAGCCGGTAATTCACCTCCTATTCTAATGCAACACCCAGAGTACAACAAAATGAGGTATTAGGAGTCAGCATCACACCAAACAGGATGTTTGGTTCCTCATAGAATTTGTAGTCAAAACCACCAACCTCCTTGCAAAGTAATGCCACAGAAACTAAAACAGTAAGGGACCTAACGAGGACGGTGAACAAGCTCAAGTGACACAAATCCACGACAATACGTAGAAATCGCACCCTTCTCATGAATCTCCAAGCTAAACACTTTCTAGGCATCTGCAACCTCATACATTCTCCTGGGCTAAAGTGACCTCGGGATGTGTTTACCGGGAGCAGGCTCACAGTAAGCAATCAGGCTGGAGAGAGCAAAACTGAAAGGGTGGAGATACTATCAGAGCTTCTCTCCCTGCTCAAAGGCAGACTTTCACAAAAGTTCAATGTCTAAAGAGAGGCTCAATTCAAGAATAAACTGCTTAGAAAAAAAGCATGGAAACAGTGATCAAAAAAAAAAATAAAAGAAAAAAAAAAAAGGATGCTTTAGCACTACTGTCAAGCAGTTGGCAGGTGAAATTTGTTTCCAGACTGGTTGCCTTGTTGTACACTTGCATTTTGAGTTTTTCTCCCCTTAAAGAAAATGTTTGGTTTGTTGTTTGGTTGAAGCTGTTAGGAAGCAGTCAGCTGTTTTACAGAATTAAATGCTTTTTATTATGCAAAGGCTGATGCTGTCTGAGCTGTAACGGCATGAATGTGAACAGCATGTTAATTCAAAGTCTGTATGATTACACCTTACTATTAAAGGTCACTCAGCATTTTGTGTTTGCCAAGTCAGTGACTTTTGATGCGTGCTGTATGGACCTCTGGATGTCTATGCATTATTTCTAAGGTATGTGCAAGAATCAAAGCAAGCCCATTGAGAGGTAGGCTTTAGCTCACTGCATGAACGACCATGTTCTTAGATATAAAACATAAAAACAAAAAACACCCCAAACTTTTAACAAAGCCACAGTGCAAGTATTTTTCCTGAGTTATGCCAAGGAGCATTGGGGTGGGGGTGTTAGTTAAGAAAAAGTGTGCAAAGACAGCATCTCTTATTCAGAGAATTAAGTGATGCTTGTAGTAGACATATTGCATTTACTGTTTTTGATCAATCTGTTCCAAGTATATTTAGCAAACTGACAGACTGCTTCTCTGCAGCAGGTAGTGTGCTTCCATCATCTTTAGGCATCTCAGATGGCAGAACAATGTTTATACAGGCTACAGGTCTGCTCCACACAGATTTCTACTCCATGGAAGATAAAATTTGGATACGCCTAAATGCCTCATGAACCTACCAGAAGCTACCTCTTGTGTCTTTAAGCAACTAAATTCTTTCCAAAACACATGCCAACATCTGCTGTCCCTTGAAAACTTGCAGACCACATCCTTTCCCATGTGCTGTACATTCTCTGTGTCCAGCTAAATATACACTGCTTTTATGGATGGAAGTAAAGGACAAGGTATTGGGCAAGCTCATTTTCATTTTTCAAATCAATATTACAAGCATGGTTTAAGGTAGTGTCTCAGAGTGATTAAAATGCTCAATTACAATGAATGGTAAAAAAAAAAGAAAAAACAGAAACAAAATAAAAAAAATAAACAAAAAACCACAAAAACGTCACAAAAATCCAAACAAAACAAAACCACAAACAAAACAAAAACAAAGACAACACAAACAAACAAACAAAAATGCCCCACACCCAACTCCCTAACCACTCTACACAGGAGCCCACTGGAAGAATTTACATTTGCAAAGGTGTAAAAACCTGCATTTTCTCTGTGGCAAATGCCAACTGCAGAGCTGCAACACAGCAACAGAGTGTGCAAAAAGGGACATGTAGCTCCCTCTAACTTAAGACATACCTCATTGATTCTGCATGATTATTTCATATCATGTATTTAAATTCATTTTACAGCTTTCATCTAAACTCTTCTTTCTCAGACTTAACTAGATTTAACAGTTTTTTGGATCAGAAGTTTGACTGAAGTTTGATCTGGCACATCTTCCCTCTGGCACAACTGATGCAGAAGCTAGAAGTGACATCAACAAATTTCTCTTGAAGTGCAAGCACTGGGGGCCTGAAAAGACAAAGTTGCAAGAGTGTTTGCTTGCTAAGGAAGTACGTGCTAAGGACTGCAGCATCCTCAGACAGCTATGGCCCTGTGAACAGCCAGGACCCAACAGGCAGTTTCAGCCATGGCACGAAGGCAGAAGACATCAAAGATGATGCATTCCCCACAAGCAGCACAACACAGGCCAGCTGGCACTAGTGTCCCACTCATTAAGTCACAGCAAGTCCACAGACAAGACAGCTGATGACAACCAGAGCTCACTGGTACTAGAATTTGTTTTCTTTTGAGAAAAGGGCTTT